GGGGGGGGAGGGCCCCGCCGGACAATGCACCTGGGGGTCAGGCCCCCGCCCCTCAGCCTGCGCGCCACGGCCGGCCACCGGGCCACAAAGGCCAACCCTCCTGGCCGCGGCCAACCCCCCGGGCCCTTCTCCCTCCTGCGGGCCAGTTGAGGATTCTGCACGGAGGAGGGGGGCGGGGTGGAAGGATGGTGTTGAGAGACGTGGAAAGGCCGGAGACTTCTCCCCTGATGGCCCCCTGCCCATCCCCCTACTCTGCTCACCCGCCCAGGCCCTGTTCAGGGAAGTCCAGTTCCCACTTCTGAGGCTTGTCAGCGCCCCGGGAGGCATCCTATGGCGACCCCCCCCCCCCCCCCCAAAACTACCACCCACATTTGGAGACTTCTTATCATCTCCGGTCCCATCAGATACAGCCGTGGCTTGAAAATCATCTAAGAGAGACCTAAAATTAGCAGTTACCTTTGGGGGAGAACTTTTAACTCTGCTTCAGGTTAATTAAGTTTTTAATGTGCGAGAACTAAGTGCATAAAGGCCCTTGTCCTGGGAGTAGAGGCGAGATCAAAGGGTTTCCAGAGTTTGATATGCGAGGCCAGACTTTGATAGGTTACCTGCTTAAAAGTTAGGCTGATGAAAGGAGACACCAACGATGGGAATTTGTTCACAGCTCTTGGAATTAATTAAGGATAACCAGAGGAGTCGAAACGTACATTTAAAGAGGGCGTACAGGGGGGCTGCCGGGACGGAGCCTACAGAGTCTTTACACGTGGATTAGCGTTTGCTAATCCCGATCTAAATCTTTGGCACATGACGAGGGCACAGGCTAAAAGCTAACTTTAATTAAAGTCGCTGACGGAAATCTAGCCTTTGTCACTAACTGCCTTTAGCAAGTTTCAGGAATCCTTCTGATTGTGCGGGAGAGGGTGGAAGTGGGGGGGTGGGGCTGTAAATCCATTAGGACCCCCGCACTACTTATCCTCAAACTTACTTTAAAAAAAGTCAATCTACTTTGCAATTTTATTTTAACCCCATGTAAAACAACAGTACCCTTGCGACTCGGTTGCTTCCAAACGCGTCTTACAATACAGATGAGTTTGAACAATTTCTAATCCCCAGAAAATAAAATTCGTAGAAAAGGAAAAATTGTTTGGGGTAATAAAATGCAATACTGCAGAAATCTTTTAAATATCGGTCATTGAAATTTACAGAAAATGAGGTACTTAACTGTTGGCCTTTAAACTGCATTCTTGTTTGGATTGTTTTGAGACAGGGTCTCACTTTGTAGTCCAGACTAACCTGGATGTCACTTGTATATGATTCAGGCTGCAGGAACAGGCTTGAGTCAGCATTCCCAGTCTGGATAGGTTTTTCTTTATTATGTGATTATTCCTTCTCCCTCTTGACTAAGTATTCTTGGACCCAGCGACCCCAAGTGCTCCCGTTTCCTGGATAAGAACTGCTAATAAGATGTTTTCATTTAGTTACACCCAGGAACTTTATGACTTGGAACCTGGCGTTGCCTTGAGGAAGGATATTTTCACTGAATTAAAAGGAGGACGATGTAATACATTAAACAGCCTGCTGAATCAAGTCTAGCATCTATTTACCTCACCACACTGGACAGGAATAGAGTACCTCTGTGTGTGTGTGTGTGTGTGTGTGTGTGTGTGTGTGTGTGTGTGTGTATAATGTCATGTTGTAAGATTTGTGGTCTGCTCAAAAGTTTTCATATACACTCATTGGCCTCTCATGGCAACCTAGGACATAAATATAGAGATGTTGGGAGGAAAGGGTTTATTTCACCTCACAGAGAACTGTCAATCACTGAGGGAAGCCAGGGTAGGTACCTGGAGGCAGGGTGCAGAGACTGTTGAGGGGTACTACTTCCTGACTTGTGCAGATGTGTGTGTGTGTGTGTGTGTGTGTGTGTGCATATATATGCATGCAATCATCCGCAACCACCAGCCTAGGGGTGTCACCACCCACAGAAAGCTGGGTCCTACCGCGTCAATCCTCAATTAACGCACCAAAGGTTTGCCCACAGCCCAATATGATGTGGGCTTTTTCTCAACTGAGTTTCCCTCTCCCGGATGACTCTGGCTTGTGCCAAATGGACATAAACTAATCATCACAGATGTGCTTATTAGTAATATTTAATTTGAAGAAATAGATTTAGCCAAGGTCACCCACTGAGAAGAGATGACTAGGGGTCAGGATTCATGTTTTCTAATTTTCAAGTTTTACCTGTTCTTTTGTATAGAATCCTTTCTGCCTTTAAGCGGTTTTTCTAGTCCTAGAGTTTGAGCCTCAGGCCCCATATTTGCCAGGCAAGCACTCTACCATTGAGTCACACACTCGCAGCCCCTTGTCTTTTCTATTTTATATCATTTTTAAGACTTACTTTTTATTTTTAAGTATGCATGGGTGTCCTTGTGTGGTTATATACTCAAGAGTCCAGGCACCCTGGAGGCCAGACGAGAGTGTCCGATCCTTTAGAGCTGGGTTTGCCTCCCCTCATGGGTGCTGTAAGGCAAAACTCAGGTCCTCCCAAAAAGCTGTGTGTGTTCTCAACTGTTGAGCTAGGTCTCGTTTTATTGAGAGAGGGTCCTATGTAACAGAGACTAGTCTTGAATGCCGGATCTTCGTGTGTTCCCCGCCCAAGGGCTGTGATTACAGCTATGTCCAGTTTATTCTGTACTTGGGGATGAACCCCAGAGCCTCGTGCATGATAGACAAGTCTCTGTAACTGACTTCTATCCCCAGCCTCCCTTGTCTACTACTTAAAAACAAAAGAAACCAGCCAGAAGGTGGTGTCACACACTCTTAATCCCAGCATTTGGGGGGCAGAGCCAGGCGAATCTCTGTCGGTTCAAAGCCAGCCTGGTCTAAGGAGCTTGTTCCAGGGCAGCCAGGACTACAGAGAGAAACTCTGTCTCCAAAAACCAAAAAAAAAAAAAAAAAAAAAAAAAAACCAAAAAACAGACAGCAAACAAAAAAACCTATTCTGATGAGAATTTGCAGCGTATTTCTTTGAATGACACATTACATATCTCCTCAGGAATTGCTCTAACATATTGTTACTCTTGCATCATGTACTAGGTCCATGGCTTCTTAAGAGCTTACGATTCACCTCTTGCAATGACCCAGAATTTCCATCCGGAAGCATATGTTACATACATCTGACAACATTTGAGTGGTAAAGCCTGTTTTGGGCTTTCTGACCCGCAGCTTCAGATTTCAATACTGTGTGAACAGGTTACTGAAGGTCTCAAGCCTAATCTAGTTAATGGGAAGGAGGATGATAGTAGTGAGCTACAGGGATGTCCTAGCATGTATGGAAAGCCCCTGCTACCTACCTCACCCTCTAAGTAATTGTCATGTTACTATCTGATAAGAAGATAGTCCCAATAATGACAAATCTTCATCTTTTCAGGCAGGCTGGATTTTAAAAAGTTTATTTCTGCGAGTCAAATCTGATTGACTTGGAGATGACTTTAAAAATAAAAACTCCTTCAATGGTGCCTATGTAGTTCTGAAGGAGTTAAGATATACCTGGGTCTCCAGCCTCCTGAGGTTTCCCATTAGATAATGAAGTTTATTAAGGCAACTACTTATACCTTGTTTGACTTTCCTATTCCGAAACAATTCCATTAATTTTCAGACTGAAAGAGCAGATCATTCATTGGGCAGTGGTGGCATATGCATTTAATCCCTGTACTTAGAAGGCAGAGGCGGGCGGATCTCTACAGAGCTAGTTCCTGGACAGCCAGGGCTACACAGAGAAACCCTGTCTTGGGGGGAAAAAAAGAAAAAAGAAAAAGAATAGGTCATATATACTGAAAGTAGAGAACTGAAGGGGCCATGGAAATGGCTCAGCTGGTAAAGTGCTGCATAACATGACCGCCTGAGTTCAGATCCCCAACATCCATGTAAGCCAAGCACAGTCAACGAGAAGGAGCAGACAGGTGGGTCCTGGGGGCTTACTGGTGAGCCAGTCTAGCCAAATCAGTGAACTCCAGATTCTGCAAGAGACCCTGTCTCCAACAAGTAAGGTAAAGGAACTGGAGATATGACTCAGTGGTTAAGAGCACTTGCTTCTTCTTTTTTTTTTTTTTTTTATTTTTCGAGACAGGGTTTCTCTGTACTTTTTGGTGCCTGTCCTGGAACTAGCTCTTGTACACCAGGCTGGCCTCGAACTCACAGGGATTCGCCTGCCTCTGCCTCCCGAGTGCTGGGATTAAAGGTGTGCGCCAGCACCGCCCGGCGAGCACTTGCTTCTTACAGAGGGCCTTGTTCAGTTCCCAGCAGCCACACAGGCTCTTCACCCTCCATAACTTCAGCTTTAGGGATACAGTTACCTTTCCTGGCCTCCAGGGACACCAGGCACACACGGTGCATCCACATGCATGCAGGCAAAACACTGTTAGGCATAAAATAAAAATAAATAAATCTTTAAAAAAATTGAGGAAGATGTCCAACATCAGTCACTGACCTTCACGTGTGTGTGCACATACATGTACACATACACACACACACATAAACTAAAATCTGAAGAAAAGTTGTGGCTTTTTT